GTTCCATCCATATGAGCGGGACCAATTGATGGAAATTGTCAACTCGCGGCTAGAGGCATCAAGACAGGGGTTGCAGGTCGATCACAACGTCATACACGAGGACGCGGTCAAGTTCGCCTCCGCAAGGGTAGCAGCTGTGAATGGGGACGCCAGGAGGGTGCTTGATATCGCCAGGTATTTGTTGGAGCTGCCGGACTCCGGCTTCGGATGGCTGACGATCTTGGTAACAGACGCGCTGTCGAGACTGTTCATGATCCTGCAGGCAAGACCTCCAAGATCGTCAAGATGCCCGAGATAACGACGGTGATCAAGGCCATGCAGAACAGCCCTACCGCTGGATACCTCAAAGACTGCAGCTTTATCGAGAGGATCATCCTCGCAGCGTTGATGAAGTGCGTGAAGCGAGAAGGCGTCAACGAGGTCAAATGGGGTGAAGTAAGTTGGCCCTCGTACTGTGCCCTCCAGCGAAGATAGAACTTATCCCTGATCTCTTTCCACAGATCACCCAACAGTGCCTCATCTTGTTTGAGCAGCTACGAGATGACGTGACTATGACAAGACCTAGCTGTCATCAGCTCCGGTTCGTCCTCATCAATCTCGTGGCGTCCAAGACGGTCATCGTCGAGACTGGTGTAGCCGCAGATAGGAAGAGTGTATATGATCGCTTGGTGATGATGAATATGGAAAATGGGGAGGTGATTAGGGCGTTGTCAGAGGTGGGAGGTGACAGATGGGAAAATATGTTGGGCGCTTAGATCTTTGACCATTCACAGCCTAAATATTATAAAGTATGTTAAGTATGAAGTTCTGGACTGTTTAGACGAGAGTACATTCGGCTGGGACGAGCTAGTACAGCGCAGGGTGAAATGTGAGTTATAGTGGCAGATTCGTTTCGCCAATCGTCACTGACGAAGCCCAGCTGTTCTCAGAGTGCAAATCAAGGTGATTGGTTGTGTACATGGGGTTTTATGTTGAGGTTCAAGAGATCTTTGTTCTGTATGCTACGAAGGTCTACACATCGGAGTCCAATCAAAGATCCATGAGAAAGTGCCGGTCTATGCCCAAGGATGATCGCGCATCACGATTGCCCATAATCACCATCGGGTTAGTCCTGACGGGGCGATGCCTTGAAGGAAATTTGCAGAAAGTCAGCTCCTTCACGCAATGGTGACAGCCCAAACTGTGGTCCGAAAATAATAACAGAACATCAACTGACCGCTTCCGCTGCGTGGCTAGCCCTCAGCTCGGCGATCCTCAGATCACCCTCTTTCAAAGGGTTGACGGCTTCCTCCGCCCACTCACTACGTTCCACACCATGCCAATCTTCCATACGATGCTGATCCTCCAAAGATGGGACCCGATCCGCCTTTAGTTTCGAGAGATAATGGTCTTCCCTCCATGGAAGGCGTTGGCCAGTCTTGGAAGAGTAGAGTACGTCCTTGTTCCGGGGGCGCCGTAGCTTGAAGGAGATCCGTAGAAAGTCAACTCATTGCATGCGGCAAAAGTAGCGGCAAAAGAAGGAGCATCAGCTAACTCTGGCCATTTCCTTATCGTCCCAATCAGCTTCAGGTACTTCAACCCTCTCCGCCTTGGCTGTTTCCATCATGTTTTTCGACGCTTCAGGTACAAGCTCCCCGATCCTATAACGATGCATAAGTGTCAGCGTCCCTTACCAGCAGAAGGGGGTGAGAACTTCTGACACTCACTGTAGAACTGGCGCCGCGAGTGTCGTGAGCCCCGAGAGTCCGATGGCAAGGACAATAGCAGAAATGTATCGCATGACTGGTGTAAATGTAAAGTGATGCAGCCGGAATGGGAAATAACAGAAGGTCGAATGAAGACCACAAAATGAGAACTAAAGGTGATAAGAAGAGAAGATGTGACAAGAAAAAGGGTTTTTTTTTTTAGAAATTGAAGTGAAGTGAAGAATGAAGGAGGATATCGCTGCTGAATGAGGATTGGAGGGCGGAATCTGAGCCATCTTTATAGGCTGTTTATCTTCGTATCTACCCCCATTCATCATCCCCGGTGAAATAGGGGTGGTGAAGATGAAACAGGTCGAGTTTCTGATGCATTGGAACAGATGATAAGATCCACAACTCAGGTACCAAAGTTTCACAGCAATGTAACGGATGTGTATCGAGGATGAATCGTAGGTAGACACTGCCATGAATATTGTTTCTATCCCTTTTCGTGCTCGTTTCGGTGCCCTTAGTCGATCGAAAATAGCCCTTGGGGGCACCTTGAGGCCAGAGTTAGCAGCCGAGCCCCAGGAGCTGCATGAAACGTAGTAATGTAAGAGGGCAACCGACTTGGGTCGCCCGTGCCACCACGAAAAGATCCCCTGGCAACAAGTTACGTGTGAAAGAGACAAGGTGGGTGGAGCGATTCAACCATCTCGCTTTTTGGTTTATCGAGGCGTGTGGTGTCAAGCAAGATAGCACCAAGATTCGGGAAGCAGGTGAAACGCCGAGTGGGTGTCAGGATAGGTAAGGTGTTCTCATCGAATGAGTCCGGTCCTTTCGGGTAGATAGAGAAGCAAAATCCAGAAAACGAATGGTTTGTCGTAGACTTGATTCGCCGATGAGGATGAACCAGGGTCAACATCGACTCAGACATGAGAACCAGTAGAAGTCATCGTGAAACTTTTGTCCCATTGGGGTGCGTTACGAATGAAATTGGAGACACAAGGGCGGGTGTATGTTCTTTTCTGGGCGAGTCGTTGCGGTTGCCTAGCGACTACAAAGGGAGGCGAGGACTTGGCGTCCGCGGCAACATCTTTATGCGTTGCTCTCCAAGTTCTCACACAGAACGAGAGTGTTGTCACCCTTGTGAGACGGAGTTCATTTGTGACGGCTTGTGCCAAGATCGTGATCTTTGAGATGAGAAAAGTAAGTGGATAGCTGGCAAGGGGGGTATGTAGTTAGCCACCTCTGAGGCGCGGCCTGAGCATCGGAGTTCCATCAGCATTCATCCTTAGTACCTGGAATGGGACCTTCAATATTTCCAGTGGTTGACTCCCAATGATAGTAGAAGTACGGGACGTGACAGGGCTGCTATATTTATTACATCGGTTGCAGTATGCTCGAAGGCTTTGTGGGAGAGCTGCGCAAATCAGTGTTATAAAAGGATCTATGTCAAAGTATATAATGAGGCGAATCCGTAACCAAAAATTTGCTATGCTAGGCAGCTGGACTCTCGGTGACGTTCCTAAGAAGTTCAAACTTCAGGGAAGGAGGCCAAAACACGCTTGCTTTCATTTGTTTCTTGTTCCCAGCCAGGATCGCAACCACCCCGCCGATGCTGACTTCAATCCAACGATGGATACTCTTAGTGTTCTCTGGGCTGTGAGCATTCTTGTACATTTCTTATGTCACAGGTCTGAGCGTGTCTGACCGCTTTTCGTCAGTAACTTGGCTTTGGTCGCCAGAGCCATAGATGTGGAAGGTGCGATCGTGTACAACGACGTCTGTTATGGTACGCAACACCATGCACTCAATCGCATTGAAGTTTTCTTGACCCAAACTCTCAGACTTCTATGAATTGAAGCCAACCACTGTCGTCCTCGATAATGGCCTTTACTCAGCGAGCGTTTGGAAGTCGGGCCAATTCGTTTTGTGAGTGGGTCTGGACATGGTCTTCTTTCAATGCGATTATTGACGATCGTCTTGCTCTCAGCCGAGATGTAGAACCTGGGTCGTATGTTTTGAATGTCCTCTCCCGGGACTTCTACTTTGACCAGGTAGGAGTTCTGATACGTATACTGGCATGGACGTCCAATTCATCATCAATCTGTCAATCTAGCTCCGGGTGGACGTTGGCCAGATTGCAACAGAGGAAGCTTCAACCGCCACGGCCACGGATAACACTCCTGTTCCTACTACTCCTACGAGCGATAGCCCTAAGATCCAAGTCCGTCCCTTACCACTCGGGACACCTCATAATCCCACACCCCTACCACCTCTTCTCGCATACCCCATCAGACTCACTCCACTCAAGACCAAGGTCTACTTCGAGGAGAAGCAAGAGTTCAGCTTGATCGGCATGTTCCAAGGGAACCCTATGATGCTCGTCATGGTGGGAACGGTGCTCATGTCCTTCTTAATGCCGAAGATGCTTGTAAGTCATTTAGGACATGCTGTAGTAATCTGCCCCTACTTATCGATATATGATTGGACTATAGGCGAGCATGGATCCTGACGAACGCAAGGAACTTATGGATCGACAATCCAAAGTAATGGGCATGCAAAGCGCGTTAACTGATCAAGTAGATATTGGTGCCAGGTATATATCATTCATCCCTTTCAAGCCCAAACGCACACGACTAACTCTACGAGGCTGATTGTTTCCCCCTTATCGCAGTCTATCGAAGTATATTGGTGGCACTCAAGACGACGACACGCCTGTCGAAAGCTCTGCAACAGCACCTAAAGCTAGTGGCGGTAGTTCGTCCGCATCCAAGAGGGTCAAGCAGAAGAAGCGATGAGAGGAGAGTTGCAGTAAGACGGATGCACACTCGATGGACGTGATGCAGCTATGGATTTTCTTCGGCAATCCCATCATGACTATGTTTTCTCATCGCACTTATGGCGTTGTCTTGCATATCTTTATTGAGAGTATTTGAAAGAGCAAAGCATCATCTTGGAATCACATCTTTCCTTCTTTAAATCATACGCGAAGTAGGGCGATGTCGTCTTCATAGCTTATTGCAGGGAGGTCAAGCGAAGACGACAACATGACCGATACTGGGCAAGGAATCCGAGATTAGAACACCTCCATTTACGCTTCTAAGCCGCGGACACATCCTGTTCAAAAATCTAAGCGCAATTGGCGTATGAAACGGGAATATGAATTTCAAAAACCGACCATGACTCTTGACCGCTGTTGGTATAAAAGGCGTAAAAGGGACACTCGTTGGTAAGTTCTAAGAGCTCAAGAGCGCCGAAGCGCCGTATAAGAGGGACGCAGGGGTATGTAGAGCGAGCAAGAAAAAATGATACCGACATCTACAAGATTCGAACTTGTGCCCGGAAACCGGAAGAGATTTCTAATCTCTCGCGTTAACCACTCCGCCAAGATGCCTTATACACTCAGATTGAAAAAGTTACTTATTATCCAGCTTATTTGTGCCAGCGCGTTTGCAACGCCAAACGAGACACGACCTCCCCATATGCATTAAACACAATGACAGAATAGAAATAGCAGTCACAACTTTGTAAAATCAATGGAAGAACGAAGATCAGCCTATGTAGAGGGAAAATGGGAGCCGCAAGGGATCGGACGTCTCTTTATCATCATATATCCAAACTAATCATAAACGGATTAGATTCCATTCCATGTTAATTACTTGAGAAAACTCACCTTCAAAGTGTATGACTTTTCGGCCGATCTTCCCGCCCCGGTAACTCATACCGTATGTTCCAAGACGTGGCATTACTGCGAGAGTTTGGTTCGATGGAGCTCTTGCCAGCCACCTCACGGCTTAAGTAGTCTTTCAATTCTCTGGCCTTTTGGAGCTTATTGACGACGATCACGATGCTGTCGGGACGGTCCTCGTCATTCTCGCCAAAGAAGACACCCCACTCCATCGGTATGGCCCATCTCTGTTTGATGACTTCGACAACGGAGCTGGTATCCAGAGAAGATGGTAGATGGATTTGCTTCAGCTGAGGATAAGGCCACTGATGACCACCGTCAGGATTCGTTTCCGGTTGGAGGAGTAGCTGGAGGACTGCCACGCATGCATCCCATCGAAGATTCCACAGGTTCAGCAGTTTGAGGGCATATGGCATTGTCCGAACGGTGCCCAATATGTCGGCAAGCGACATGCTAGCGGCTTGGGGAGAGAAGTACAACGTAACAGGTCGTTCGACGATGTCCGATAGGCCACACATGTCAGCGACATCTTGCATAGGCCCTTCCGCATCGCCAGCACGACCGGTAAACCGGACCTCAAAGTAAGGGATTTTGGAATGCTCTACATCATCTAGCTCCATGTCCATGATCGTCTTCTCCCCTCCTGACGTTGCCCAAGCGTAGACAGAGTTCCCACCATGCCAGATTCCAAGCTTATGACGCTCCGACATTTTATCCAGGGCGCTGACCGCAAGGCGGGGATCATCGTCGCTGCTGAAGGGCATGCCGGATTCAGGACAGCTGACTCGAATGCGAACCCGAGTAAGTGCGTCAGAGTCGATGTACTGGAGGAGATGATGGGTCATGGTATGAGATAGGTTACGAAGGACTAAACACTGCAGTCGAGGAAGGTAAATCACTCGACCAGGAGATGGTAGAGGGCTACCCGTGTCCAGATATGACATGACCCTGGACGGACTTTCTTCGAGACTCCGGTCTAGGTGCTGCTGAAGGGTTAACACCTCCAGGTCCGGTGACGCTTCGAGGATATCGACGAGTTGAGTCAGGGATGGCAGCCATGGAGTGCTCGGAGGTGAGGTTGCATTGTTGAGACGCAGACTCACCAAGCCCTCGAATAAGCCGCACTGGATTGCAACGTTACTCAGGGCAAGATGGCGCAGACGATCTCCATTGGCAAGTATGAATGATTGCAGGGGAAGATCGTATTCGGGCGGCCACATTATCTCCAACGTCTCCAATGACAATTCTGGATGCTCTAATGCGTCGAGTACGGAAGGCGTGAATCGACCATGGAATGTGAACGAACGCCAGCGATCAGTGTGTTCACCGGCGATGGCGAGCTTGTCCGATACCACCAACTGATCTTCCGCAATCGCCCTCGAAGATATGGTTGCGCCTTGTGGTTCCTTCCGAAAGAGTAGCGTCAAAGGAGCCCGTTTTGAGAGCCGAAGGGCCATTTCCACGTGTTCAAGTGTCGGGGTTGAGACGAGCATGTTGTGCTGTACCACTGCCCAGAGCTCCGGTGTCGATTTGACCGCGTTCGACCAGCTTTTACAAACCAGAGCCAGCTGTTGAAGTTTCTTTGTGCTCCATGACTTCGCTGGCACGGCGAGGCAGAAGATTCTACCCAATATTTCGTTGGGAAGTTGTGAGATGAGAGGGACAACGTGATTCCGATGGGTCTTGTACTGAGCGACGAGGTTGTCTACACGTGCTTGCAGTGTGCACGCGGCAAGGTGGAATGCCTCGACGATACTGTCCAATCGGTCCGCCTCGTGGCCACTTCCAGTCGGGTCTCTAACAAAGCTTATTTTAGTTATTGGTTATAAATCTGTAGACAGAATGACATACAAGTAGTGGTTTGTACCATTTTCAAGTATTACGCTATCAATGAGAAGCGCGAGTGCGTCGTCGATGACTTCAGGGGACGGTGGCTTCATTCGCTGAAAGATGGAGATGTTTTTAGACGCAATATACATGTAACGAGTGTAAAATGAACTTACCCTTAACAATACGCGCTTCACGAGCAGGTGTGGTCGGATTCAGTTGGCAAGCCCTTTATTGATATTTATTTGCTCTTGAATGGTCGAGAATTGTTCGGCTGCTCAAAAATCCTCCGCGACCTCCAAAGCGCCTTCGCTATTCCGCCGGTTTGTCTCTCAACCTATAAAATCTTGGATGTACCATGCTAAGAATGTGAGATCCTGTCTTGATATTGTGTAAGACACTTGATTTATTCTGTGCGGACGCTTCAGCAACCTGCTCTCTTCCTGGGCTTTCCGTGCATCGCCTAGAATGGCATCAATGTCTCGAGTCTCGCATTACTCAAAAACTTTTCACTCGCATTCCAAGCGTGCGACAGGACCCGGACCTAGAGTACGAGACCCGCGACTACTCAATCAACAGCAGCCATCGGCATCCAATCCGCAACGGAAGTTGAGACACGTTCCTGCTAGACGTTCTTTGTTGGATGAACGGGGAGATATAGAAGCTCGCCGAATGGTAGAATCACAGCGGGGAAAAGAGCTTCGTGGAGCGATCTCCACAGGCAGTTTGATCCTAGTACACCAGCAGTATGAGGCGTTGAGGTCCTCTCGCCATCTACATGAAGTGTCCGAAGGGGATCTGTCTATTTTGGCGAAATTTCTTTCCGCTGTAATGGCGGTTCTACCACCATTCGGCTCGCCAGAAGCGACAGGAACGGTGGAGGGAGTCGGGCTTCAAGACTTGGGGCAGATGGCGGCGTATCTTGCCCACAGGGGAGTTGTAGATACGCTCTTAAGCTGCATGGGAAGTGCTCTCGCAGCAGGGAACACGCAGGCAGTGGAGGACTTGTGGAAAGGAGTCGGAAGGGAAGCGCGATCACAGGAAGTTTCGACTCCAAGCACGTCCACAGAGACTGGTCGGCCATCCGCCGCACACTCGACGCCATCGTCTCTCATCAAGAATCCGCTCGATCGCAAACAAGTTGTGGGTTTAGTAATGGCAGCTCATGCTCTACAGGAGAACTACCGTGGAGCCATCATACTAGGTGTCGAAATGAACTACTTCAACCCCCCCACGGCCGAGAAGCTCGAGCAATCTCTGAGGGACTATGGACTTCCTGATTCCTACCCTTATAAAGACTCCGCAGACTTTCTTTGCCTCCTCGAACTAGCTGTCCTCGTCAAAGGCGGTCCTGGTCACCCGAACTGGCCGCGATTCGAGGAGAGGCTTAGTCCCGACCTCTTCTGGCGCTGGTACCGAAGGCTACTCGGAGGGTCACTGGGTGAAGAACCCTGGTGCTCCTACACACGCGGCAGCCGTTCCGGGCCCCACCCACCGCTCGTGTTCATAGATGATGCTATATGGAACCTGTTCGTGTCCTACTTCGCCCGTAACCATCGCCTTGACCTTGCGCAACGTGTCTTGGATGACATGACCGACCTCGGCCTGACACACCCAACCGTTGTATTAAATAAGCTGCTGGACGGGCACGGGAAGAAGGGGGATCTAGAGAAAGCCAAGGCCATTTGGGCGCAAATATCGAACCCCGATGTGTTTGCGTATACCAGTATGATCGCGGCCCTCTTCCAAGGATGGCAACCCGAAGAGGCGCTTCGACTGTTCGAAGAAGCATCGACAAAGTTTGGGAGAAAGGAAGATGGAGAGGATGCGCGGGGCGGGAGGATCACGGTAGTCACCTACAACGCCGCCATTCATGGTCTGCTCATCAACGGGCGAGTGGTGGAGGCCGAAGCTCTTTGTGATCGGATGCAGGCTGAGGGACCTCGCCCCGATACCACCACATACAACACCTTCTTGCGGCACTTCGGGAGGAAAGGCAATTCAGAAGCATTCTCTCGGGTGCTACGAGAGCTCAAAGCTGATGGCCTGAAGCCTGACATCTACACGTTCAGTACCATCCTCAACAGATTCATCGAGCTGGGGCGCTCGGATGCGGTACAGCGTTTGCTTGGGATCATGGAGGAGATGGGTGTCAAGCCGAACACGGCCACGTATACAGCGATTATCGACGGGCGAGTGAGGATGAAGGGTAACAGTAACCTGCTCATGGGCTTGGAGCTGCTAAAGACGATGGAACGAGAACAGATCCCTGCGAACGAGGTCACGTACACCTGTCTTGTGACCGGCGCCGTACGGGACCGCAGCATCTCGCCGGAGGTGTCCCGAGAGGTCCTGGATGAGGTTATAGCAAGGATGACGGCGCGCGGGATGGAGCCCAATCGCGTCATGAGCAATTTCCTAATTGAGGCTCATTTGAGCAGAGGTGGAGTGGACGAAGCTATGGCCTTGTGGAGGAGTACGCGGAAAAGGCACGTCCCCGATCAGACGTACTTTGTGCTGCTTTCCAGGTTGATGACCATGCGGGAGGAAGGCTATGCACAGGAGGTCTTGGATCATATGAGGGCGAGTGGCTTTCAGCCAAGGGGAGCTCTTAGCAACTTAGTTCGAAGGCTGATTAGGAAGATCGAATTGCAATAATATCATTCTTACATATTTCTGCACCTAATGTTTCTACCTGAAAACCACTCGTTAGCGAACAGAATCCATTCATTCGTCTCCAGCGACCGTGCAGGCCTCGCCAGTACACCGATAGCTCCGCGTTCGAACTCCACCCGAAACCCGTAAACCTCGACGCCTCAATGTGCACGGCCTTATGATGAGCCCTAATTGAGAGACGACGAATCCTCCGTACCGCCCTC